ATCTTTTATTTTTAGAAAGACAATTTAGTGTTGTGGGGAAAAGCTCTGACATACTGCTAAATGGAAAGAAGGATATATTTATACAGTATGATCGTAATTAGGTAAAAAATACTTTCCATAGAAGAAAACATGTGAATAGTGGTTCATTCTGAGGAGTAATTGTTGCTGGTTTGTATTTTCAATTTTTTCTAGGACAAGCTCATACTGCTTTTATAATAGCAAAAGGATTATTAAAAAAGGAAATAGGTGTCTAATAGGATATAAAGTATTCAAGCTTATTGTGTTTTAGAGCCAGAGAATAGTTGCAGGCATCATTAGCGTGGGAGCTGGTGACTAAGGGCTGTGATTGGGTAGGAGACTGTCTGAGAGCTTAAACAGTGCAGAGGCATAATGCAGGGGAAGGTTCCTTCGTGTTTTTGCTCAGTTCTGCATTGCTGGCTGTCACTTGCTGATCAGGGAAAGTCTGACTGCTGTCCGCCTTGTCTTTGACAAACACAGATAGGAAGGCAAAGTAATTATCTAATGTGATCTATTTAGTAGCCAAATATTTTTGTGTGAACACAGACTTTGAGTTTTATTTCATTGCAAGCGAGGCAACCTATATGTGCACATTCTTTTTCTCATCCAAGTTCTTTAACTGCTGAAATTGCCCTTAAAGAGACCACAAACATTGTAAAATGTGTTTAATTACTAATTCATTAAATTTTCCTGTCATTTGGTACCAAATATTTTAAAACATGAGGCAACAGTGAAAGATTCCTGAGGCTGTAAATTGGAAAGCATTCTAGATGGTTCTTCAGTGTTTGGGTTCTCAGCCATGAATCATGAAATCACTTCAGTGGGTCTCCCAGCATTACGTTGTAAGTGAAATTAGCATACATGGAAAATATAGGGTCCATTGGGTATAGTAAGTATGAGTACTTTACATTTTTATTGTAGGGGAGTGTTTATATGTGCTGGATTGTAAATGGAAAATGTGTGTGTTCTTAAAATGATGATTTTCAGTAAAAAAAAAAAAAGTCAAAAGTCTTCTTGTGACATAGACAGTGCTTTTCAGTAAGATCCCAGGATTAGCAGCATAGGTGTCACCTGGGAGCCTGTTACAGATGCGGATTCTCGGGCCCCACCCAGACCTACTGAATCAGACACTCCGGGGGTGGGCCCAGCAGCCTGTGGTTTAACCAGGCCCCCTGGCCATTCTGGTGCACACTCAAATTCAGAACCACTGGTCTCGCCCTGCCTTCCTGGGTGTGGTCCGGAGTCTAACATTGGCATCACCTGGCAGCTCGCTGGAAATGCAAAATCTCAAGCCCCGACCTGGACCTACTAAATCAGAGTCCACAGGCTTCAGGGGTGATCTGTATGCTCGGATTAAAGGTTTATCAAAGGTTTGGAAGCACTGATCTAAGCCACATATGCCTTCAGAAGCCAAGTAGACAATGTCAGTGAATGAAGGCAGCCTGGACTTCTCCATAGAGAGCACAGCCTATCTCTGACTTATGATGGTTCAACTTATGATTTTTTCTACTTCACGATGGTGCAAAAGTGATAGTTTAGTAGAAAATATACTTGGAAATTTGATAATCTCCCAACTAGTGATACGCCATATGATATTCTCTCATGATGCTGGACAGCGGCAGTGAGATGACTTTGCCCAATTGTAGCTACTGTTAGAGTTCTGAGCATGTGTAAGGGATGCTAGGCTAAGCTATAATCTTCCTTAGGTTAGGTGTATTCAATGCATTTTTAACTTACAGCATTTTCCCCCAAATACATTTTTATAATTTCAGAGAGGAAGGGAGAGGGAGAGAGATAGAAACATCAATGATGAGAGAGTATCATTGATCGGCTGCCTCCAGCATGCCCCCACCCCCCGCCCCCCACTGGAAATCGAGCCCACAACCCAGGCATGTGCCCTGACCAGAATTGAACTGTGACCTCTTGGTTTATAGGTTGACACTCAACCACCGAGCCACACCAGCCAGGCTCAACTTACAGTATTTTCAACCTAAATCCCGTGTACATCGAGGAGCCTCTGTGTAGCAATTAGAAGGCATTATGGTGTGAAATTTAAGCACTCTTCATTTGTTTAAAAATGTCCTGCCTTATATCAGTTGGGGTTAATACATCCAGACAAACTCATCAACTGAGGTTGACTTCAATTGACATCAGTTACTTCAAGCAGATTTTTCAACCCACATTTTAACAGAGTGAGCCCCTCACATTAACTTCCTCTGATCTCTTTTAGGAATTTATCAAGGAGCTGCTCTCTCGGATAAGAGGCATGAGGAAACTGAGCCCCCCGCAGAAGAAGACTGTGTAATTCTGCACAGGGTGGAGCTGCCTGGAGACCAAGACTGGGTCCCAGGAACTGGACTTTACTCAGACTATTTCACTTTTTTCGGGGAGGGGGCATCTGTTAGACATTTATTCAAGAGCGTTCTGTTTTTTTTGTTTTTTAAGGGTTTCATTAGTGTACTATTTTAATAGCAAAGATACCACTCTGGTTTCAGCCCAACCAGGATTGTCAAACCAGACAGACATCATCCAAGGATGGGCTGGGCTAGGCAGTATTTTCTTCGAGAAATCCGATGTTGATGACCTAACTATACAGGGATGATAGTTTATTTGTTTTTTTAACAACTAGTTGGGTAATCCTTCTTTCTTAAGTTCTGCATTTGACTCAGACGTCGAATTTCTCATGCTTGTATATATCTACACACAACAGAGTTCCAGCGTAGATGTGAGCTTTATTTCACATTGATGAAATGAACGTGTGGTCGTCCTTTAACTGGAGGTCACAGCACAGTGTGTTGGCCAGAGGCCACTAGATATTCTTCATGTGAGTGCTGCTGACCTCCAACATCCGCTTTATGCACCAAAGTGAAAGAATCCAGTGTATCCGTTATTTGAATGAGCTACACTACAAAAGTGTTGAGTTGGTCAAGGGCTTAATTTATGGACTTTCTATTATTTCATTCATTGGGATGCTTTGCCAGGTCGTGTACTTATTGCCTCATTTGTGGTACTTTAAAGTTTTACGAATCCTTTGTTGGAAGAACTACTGGGATGTCTAGAGAGGAGCCCTCGCTATCTGAGCAGTGTTTTCTGTGGAAAATGGGAGCACTGGGTAGTGATGAATTCTCTGCTTTAAACCAGGTACTGTGTAATATTCTCTCCATGAAAGCAGGTCAAAAGGAAGCCAGCAGATTATGCATCTCCCTTCTTAGAAGTAGGTTCTGGTCACTTCTGTGCCTGGGCAGCAGCAGACCAGAGGGGTGTGCTCAGTGGTGAGCAGAGGGAGAGGTGGGGAAGCCTCTCCCACTCTCAAGAAAGTTGGCAGAGGAGCATTGGCTGGTCGGGAAGCTCGGTGGAGAGTGCATTTCTGATTTCTCTAGTGGCATATGGTGAGGACTCCGGCTCTAGGCACCCGGATTCCCTTGCCTGGAGCTAGGCCTGGGGCACCTGCCCTGCCCCTTTTAGTTACACACCGGCTCCTTGGGGGAGGCTCAAAATTCAGATGGACTCAGGTGGAGTCAAAGGTCAGAGTAGGAACTCTTGCTTCCCTCCAGGAGGTCCCGCTGCCTCCCCACAGAGGCCCCACCTACAGTGAGCTATGTCTGGGGGGGTCCTGTCAGAGCACAGGGGTCAGGCATTTTCTATCAAGGGTGCTTTGAACATATTTTATTTTTTAAAAGAACTATGTTTGTGAATTTTATGTATACTGGCAAGCTTTTGAAAATGTATTTAATTTTGTAATGTTTACCAATGATTTCTTTACAAGCTATTTACTCAAATAAATGGAGCTGCTTACAACTCTGCTCACTGTTTGCCTCGTAAAATATGGCCACGTGCTGACTTGACTCTGTCAGGCGCTCTGCAGAGGAGGGGCCAGGCTGCTGTGTCCAGCTGTTCCTTCTCAGGCATTGGGTCCCAGGCCTTTCCCGATGAGGGCAGCGGAGCTGGAGGACTTTCCGGGGTTGAGAAGGAAACAGAGGGTGAGTTTTGTGCACTTGGTCCTGCCTGCCTTCTGTTCCAACCCTCTCTCGGCCATGCCCCTTCATCTTATTAAAGCTCCCCTTTACCCGTTTGATATAAATCCTCAAGAAGATTTCAAATTAATCAGGTATTCCCATTATCATGAGAATGTCGTGCACCCAGTAAATACAGAAAAATGCAGGATTTGTACGATTTTCCTTAGGCTTGACCAGCCCAAGTTATGGTCTTCAGATGAAGCAAGAATGAGTTTTTCCTCCAAAGGCATCTGATCCGGACACAAAACACACTCCCGCCTTCCCTCCCTTCCTTCACTCAGGGCTTGACAACACCTGATGTCCCCTGAGCACTCAAGCCATAAGCGTGGGCCTCGTCTGACTCCCATCTCTGTCCCCAACATACCCCCAGTCACTGTGCTCTTCTTCCCCTAATATCTCTCAGATCTGTCCCTTGTGAACCCTTACCTTGATGGCTGGAACCGTTGGAGTTGGCTTCTCCATGTCCAGTCTTGCCTCTCTCTGATCTGCTCTCCACCCGGTAGGCAGAACAATCTTTCTGAAAGACAGCCCTGATCATTCTACTTCCCTACATAAAATCCAGACATTGCTACATTTCTTACAAGGAATTGGTCTCTGGCTCTCCAGCCCCACCTCTCGGCCTTGCACTAATGGCTAGTCTACTGAGTTCTTTGGGATATCTGGAATGTTCCATGCATTTTCTCCTCTGGGGCTTTGTAGAAACTATTGCCTTGGTCTGAAACCTCCTCTCTGCCAGCAGGCTCTATCTGAAGAGCTTCCAGTTTGACCCCTCATGGCAAGTATCCACAGTACTATTACTGTCAGTTCCCCTGTTCTTCTCTTCTGTTAAACTAGAACCCTTGAGGTTGGACTGGATTTTATAACTCAAGACCTGGTCTTGTGCTCAGTCCATCAAAGGGATCAATATGTGTTTGCCAATGGAAGAAATAACACAAAAGGTTCCTTAAGGAAACTAAATTGTTTCCTTCACAGCTGGGAGAGTGGTTCTTAGACCTTAATGTACATTTGTTTCATGCAGGAAGCTTTAAAAACTGCTGAAGCCTAGAGCCTCCTCCTGAACATTTTAATCAGCAGCTATAGGAGCAGATTTTAGGCACACGTCTTTACTAGCTCCCGGACTGGGCACCCCTGGGCCACTGGGTCATTCTTGTGTCGCCTGATGCGTGAGCTTGACCTCAGCTCACCGTGTTTGTGCTGTGACAGCAGGTGGCAGCTATGACATCAGCACACTGACTATTTCTCATTTTATTTTCTGCTGGAGAGGAATGAAAGCACAGCACTGGGGGATGACTCCTAAGTTCCAGCTTCTAGTCCAGTGCTCCTTCAACACAGAAATCTAAGGTTAAACTTTACCGAGTGGCACCCATTCTCCACAACAATAACAGTTCCTGTTTATGTCTCACTGTGCTAAGGGTTTACATGCCTTATCTCATTTAACCCCAACATTAATGTTACCAGGGATATCGCACAATCTTCATTTTACAACTGAGGTAACAAACTCAGAAAGGTTGAGCAGCTTGCCCGAGGCCATGCAGTTACAGAGCTGAAATGCAAACCCAGACCTGTTTGACTCCACACCCCTTGACCATGAGGCTTTCCTGCCTCTCACAGGGGCTTAATTTCATCCTCACTCACAGGAGTGAAAGCCATGAGCTGCATCTGATGTGAGCGGGACCCCCAAGCCTGTGTGTGGGGGTTGGGGTGCTCTGTGATTGGAGAGGGTCCCTGGCCACCTGCTGGTTCTTCCTCACCCCAGGGGCTCCCGGCTCCTGAGCTGCAGTGTAGCCGGCTCTGTGCTGCATCTCCCCTAACAAAAGGCTCCTGATGTGGCCGTGGCTGCTGAAAGATTATCCTTTCATCGGTCTCCTGAGAAGGCAAAGCTGGGAGAAAGAGTGGCTCAGGGTAAGGTGGTTTGCAATTCCGGTAACAGGCAGGTATCTGATTTTCATGTCCCGCCTGGCGTCCCCACGCAAGGTTGTGCAGAGTCAGCTTCTCAACAATAGGTGAGTATGTGATTATCCTGGCTCTTCCAAGAGGACGCAGTGGTTGGAAACATGAGGTCTTTTTAAAAACAAAACAAAACCAAAACCCAAAAACCCTTTTTTATTGATTTCAGAGAGGGGAAGGGAGAGGGAGAGAGTGATAGAAACATCAGTGAGAGAGAATTATTGATTGGCTGCCTCTTGTACACCTGTACACCCCCTAATGGGGATTGAGCCCCAAATCTGGGCATATGCCCTGACTGGGAATTGAGCCATGACCTCCTGGTTCACGGGTCGATGCTCAACCACTGAGCCACACCAGCTGGGCACTTGAGGTCATTTTGAGCCATGACTATTACTTCCCTACCACTGACTGAAGGGGCCCAGGCCAAGACAGAGCCAGACTGGCCCATGCACTAGGCCTACCACCTGGAGAAGCAGGTGGGAGAGGACCCCTCTCCCTTCCATAGTGCAGGAGAGGCTGCAAAGGGGAGCCAGATGCTTGCGCTGTGGCCTAGCTCTGCGCCGGGCACTGGTCCTCGCTCAGCCTGCTAGGATTGAGTCTGTCATTCTTTATGCATCTTCATTTTTAACAAAAAAAGTTTTAAAAGTTAAAAAAAATTAGATATTTTTAAAATAGAAAAAAAGCTTATAGGAGAAGGATATAAATAAAGAAAATATGTTTGGATAGCTGTACAAAGTGTTTGTGTTTTAAGCTTAGTGCTATTACAAAAGAATCAAAAGTTTAAAAAATAAGTTTATAAAGTAAAAATGTTATACTAAGCTAAGGTTAATTTATCATTTAAAAAAGATAAATTCTTTATAAATTGAGTGTAGCCTAGCCTAAGTGTACAGAGTTTCTGAAGTCTCCGGTGTGTACAGTCTGTTCCAGGCCTTCACACTCACTCATCCTCACTCACTGACTCACCCAGAGCAACTTCCAGTCCTGTGAGCTCCACTCATGGTAAGTGCCCTCCCTATACAAATGTACCATTTTTATTTTTTAACCATATTTTTACTGAACCTTGTTTATGGGTAGATACACAAATATTTACCACTAGAGGCCCAGTGCACAAATTTGTGCATGGGTGGGGTCCCTTGGCCTGGCCAGCGATCAGGGCCCTCTCGCCCAGTCCCAATCGGGCGATTGGGTCTGGCTGGCCGGGGGGAGAAACTGTGGGAGGTTGGCCGGCCATGGGAGGCTGGCGGTGGGTGTGTACTGACCACCAGGGGGCAGCGGTAGCATAGCGGAGGAATGGTCAATTTACATGTTTGTCTATTATTAGGTAAGATAGATTGTGTTACGATTGCCTACAGTATCAGTACAATAACATGCTGTACTACTTTGTAGCAATAGGCTACAGCCTACAGCCTAGGTGTGTAATAGGCTAGACCAGTGGTCGGCAAACTGCGGCTCAGCAAACTACGGCTTGTGAGCCACATGCGGCTCTTTGGCCCCTTGAGTGCGGCACTTTCACAAAATACCACGTGCGGGCGCGCACGTAAACCTTCCACAAAATACCGACTTCTGCGCATGGGCCACAAAGTTTCAATCGCACTGTATGTGCACGCCCACACGTGGTATTTTGTGGAAGAGCCACACTCAAGGGGCCAAAGAGCCGCATGTGGCTCGCGAGCCGCGGTTTGCCGATCACGGGGCTAGACCATCTAGGTTTGTGTAAGTGCATTCTATAATGTTTGCATGACTATAAAATCACCTAATGACACATTTCTCAGCACCTATCCCTGTTGTTAAGTGACACATGACTGTATATACTTGATCATATTTATATTTTCAATTCAGTGTTACCATTGTTGGGAGAAAATTCTATATGGGTCCCTCATGTTTCTGCATGTCTGTGAGCAGAGACTACCATAGTTCTGAATAATTGTTTTATGTATGTATAGCAAATAGCCTTGGAAGATATAGTTTATCCCTCTAAGGTGGTGATTTTCAACCAGTGTGCCCCGATAATTTTAAAAATATGCATCAGTTGAAAATTATTGCTCTAGAGCAGCATTTGCCAATTGGTGGTCTGCAGACCACTGGTAGTCCATGAGGTCTGAAAGGTTGGCGACCGCTGCTCTAGAGCAAAGAGCAGGGAGCTTACTGCCCATTATAAAAGGTGAGGGTTCCCTAAGTTCAGAGTTCTTTCTCCTGTAATGTAACCCACGGCATGTGCAGCTGTCACCTAGCCTTCTTTGCAACCCCCTGTGGGACTTGGGACTTGAGAAATCAGTGCCAAAATACGCTGCTATTCTGGCTACTGCTATTTCTGTGAGTAATAAACCGTCCTTTCTTTCTGGCCCAGGATTGTTTGGTCCTCTACAGGCAGCATTGATGACGCTGTCGCAGGCAAACTTGTCAGCTTATGATAGGGTCCCACTTCATAGCCTGCACAAGTTTTGACAACGGTCAATCTTCTCGGTCTCTTTTAGTATGACTTGTATCACTCTTGTAGCGAGGAGATACCTTCTTATATTTAGACCCTAACTCAACTAATCATTTTCAACAATTAGGGTCAGAAGTTCCCTTTAAAGGGATCTATGCCTGAAAATGGTTGTTCTGTGGACAGAAATTACTTTCACAAAAGCCACTTTCTCTCTTCCTCCTTGTCAGCAGCTAAAAGGGAATGCTGCCTGGTGGAGATGAGGGAAAATGTGCGATGGAAGAGAGACACACCAAATTTACAGAAAAATGACACCCCAGTGAGGTGGAGAAGACAGGCAAATGGCAATTCTTGTCACACATATTTCCTTTTGAAATATGTGCCTAAGTAATACGTGTAGCACATTATCACTTGC